CAAGAGCCCAATTTGTTTGTTTATGTATTTATCTGTCGATAAAAACAAAATAATAGTAAATTTAGCTGCAAATGCATTGCTATATAACAATGAATCTATTGATGAAGACAAATATTTCAATTAGATATCTTTTGTGTACAATTACACAGAAAAGGAAGTTAGTGTGAACACTATAATGCAATTGGTTCATTTACTAACACACCTAGAATCCCATATAAAACGATGGTTAAGGCCCTATGCTCGTCTAGGAGATGACTATAGGAGAGAGAGAGAGAGTTAGCAATATTTTCTAACAAAAAGCTTTAATGTTTACACTCTAAGTTTGGAAACTTACTAAGCACAGTTTGCCGCTTTTGTTTAATTAGTTTCTATCAAATACACAGGTGTGGTTGATTGTACATTTCGATTTAAATTAAGTTCTTAGGATACATACCAACTGACTAAGCATTAGACTAACGCATATCTCATTCTGAAGATGATGCAGGCGATGTACAGTGGATATTTGACTACTGAAGTCAAACTGGTAAGGGGAATAATATTGTACTACGACGAGAAGGACTTCAAATCGCTAACTATGAATGTCTCATAGAGCTTGTTGACCGAGTTGAGGAGGGAGATGGGGCGATAGTTGAAGGGGTCAACTTTGGGCTTTCCACTTTTGGCAATCTGGCACACTATGGCCTTCCTTTAAGGTTGAAGAAAAGAATCAGAGTTATACGCGTGGTTGGAGAACATGGCGTTGATGGATACGTAATCATTGTCGGACAACGTTTTGTGTGCTTTAAATCAGAGCATGTCAGAGAGATTGGAGGAGGTCAGAAACCCGTGAAAACTGCGGGGAAAGGTGACAATATCTTCATTGAAAGCCTCAAAAAGTGGTTGAAGTACAGCATTTATAGTGTATGCAAAGTAGTGATCGTCAAGGCCAACCGTGAGATGGTGATTAGTCACAATGACTTCGCCAAAGATCGGTTATGCTGTTGCTCTAGCGTAAATTTGAGATAGGCCTTTTGGATTCACAGATCTTCCTTGTCGTACCGAGGATGTCAAACCGGCACTGGGTGGCCGAAGTTTCGAACTGAGGGAGCTGAACCTGGCTTCGTTGGCCCCCTGGGCAATTATGCTTATTACACCCAACAATGTTAACATCGTCGACGTAAGCAAAAAGCTGGACATATTTGTGAAATATTGTGCCGTTACGCTGAGCGCCTACTCTATGCATGATCAGTTTGTTGTTGATGATTGTAGCTTAAAGTAATTCTCTTGTTGTACACAGTTGTCGTTCGAGCGATCATAAGCATGGTGTTTTTGTGGCTCTAGCTCAGTAAACAGTACTTTGTTTATAGGCTAATCAGACTGTAAAGTGAAGCATGTGTGGGTGCAATGGAGAAATCGTTCCGTTGGTTTTAGAGGTTCATCTTCATTTTTCATTTTTGAAACTGCTCAGACATTTACTTGAATGCATAATTGCAATGTATTCATAAACGATGATATTTATTTAAGAGTGGTCGTGTAAACCAATGAGCAGTAGGTACGAGCAATTGCTGCAAAGGTGTCCCTTCAAGCCAAGCAATCACAATAGACGATCACCAGATCATCTGCACAGATCATGCATGTGTCGTAAGCTGTGCTCTTTAGAAATGCCATATATTTGAGGAGGGATATAAAGCTCAACTCGTACATGTGATTACTGTATACAGTTAATGTTAAGGCACTCTTGTGACCTGTAAACAATCCTAACTTTGTTTTATAGAAGATGATGTTCTAACGTAGGCTAACAAATTCTCCACATTCCAGTCACCCATATCTATTCCTAAAAGATAGTTTAGTGGGTTCACGTCTCACCCAGTTATTTTCGATGCTTTCCACCTACAGCAAAAAAAAAAAAATAAAATAATCTTTACTTTTCGATTCACGACACTAAAATATGGAAAATATACTTAAGGTTGAAAATATACATATTTCTATATCTATGCAATATTTGTTAGTTTCTTATAATTAATAGTTTTTTCGTTAACACAAGTTTTTCATAGATTTTTAGGAGAAAATAACATAAGAAACCTACAGATTCCTTAAGTTCCAAAAATGCAGATTTTTTTTGGACGAGGCAATGCTATTTCCATGATATATAGAGGCGCAATAGAAAAACAAAACAATACTTAAAATTGTTTGCGATAATTCCAAAACAACTGCCACCAGTGATACAAGCAGCGATTGAAGTCCACCAGGAGCAGCAGTAACGTCAGTCCAATTCATTATTCAGAAGCGTTTTATTCACTGTTTGTTGTTTTTATTTCTTCTTTAATTTGTTATTGCTGTAATTTTTGAGACCACTTCCAGTGGCGAGGCAAAACGGCAAGTACTGCCTGGTTCAGCTCTCTGCTATGCCCTATCGTTCTGTGTTGGATTCTCTTTATAATTTTTTAATACATCTTACTTCCACATCTTCTCCAATGTAAAACACCACCACCATTCCTTTTGCTCTTGTTACTTTGGAATGTTTGTTGTTTTTTTGTTTTCTGGTTTTATTGTTTTTCTTTCCTTTGTTATTGTGAAACAGCCATGGCATCTCTGGCATTGTCGTCGCCGTTGTGGGCGTAATTTTGCGGCCGTTTTGTTTGCGGTCGTTTCAATTGGGATTTAATTTGTGTTTGCTTGTTTGTTTGTTTGTTTGTCTGTTTGTTTATTTGCTTGTTTATGTGTTAAGTCGTACGTATTTATTTGCCAGCACACTTGAGCGAACCGCATCAGGCACGTGTGTGTGTGCGAGTTACCGCCACACAACGTTTCAATTAAATCATTGAATAAGAATTCTGCACTTTAGTTAATAGGCAAATTATTTATTTTATTTTTCGTTCCCGGCAGGGATTCAATTTAAGATACCGGGACAGGGTTCTTTTCTTTTTTTTTTGTTTTGCAGTAGGTAAAAACCAACCAAAGCCACCGCGTGAGACTTAAATTCTTGAACCACCTCTTAAGAATGAATATGAAAGATTGCAGTCGCGATCAGCGGATACAACCCCATTCCAATAATTAAGCAGAACATATTGGCTCAATATGTAGCAAGTTTAATTTATTCAAGCCAGAAAGCATGGACTATGTTATTAGAGGCAAAAGTAGAAGCTAGGCGCAAGCCCACGGAGAGATTAGCAAGATGAATTTATCCACCTAGCAAAGCTATGTTGGTTCTTAGAAAAACGGCACACAGGTCGTTCGTGTTAAGTTGAAATCAAAAGCTTTTTGGATGAGGGCGGCCTTTAGGTCTTTCTCGGGCAAAAGCTACCGTAGTGCTGCCTGAAGTTAAAGATAAAGGCGAAGGCCAATATAAAGTCGGGCAGGGAGGTGCGGTCAAGAGAGGTGAGCTATTTTTGCAAAGGTAGAAGCAGGGCGCAAACTTGCGAAGAGTATAGCAAGATGTATTTCTGCACCTAGCTAAGCTATATTAGTTCTTAGGAGAACAGTACACAGGTCGTTCATTTTAAGGTGAAATCAACGGTTTTTTGGATGAGGACGGCCTTGCGGTCTTCCTCAGAGGAAAGACTACAGTAGTGCTGCCTGAAGTTTGAGACAAAGGCGAAGGTCGACATAAAGCCAGGCAGAGGTGAAGCAGAAGTAGCGACGCTGTTGGTGTGGGTTGGGGAGCTAGTGAATCGAAGTTCGCAGGCTTTGAGAAACGTTTAACATTAACGACTAAGGTGAGTAAGGCTTTGCCGTTGAGTAATATGAGATGGCGGGAGAGGCGGTGATGGTTGAGAGCTTATCAAGAGGGGTGAGAGTCAGGGTTTTTGCCTTCGCCTCTGGCTTGTGTTTCCCCACAATGTATACAATGGTGAGGGTAGCTGCAAAACTTATTGGTGTGGTAATACTGCTGTCAGTAGAGGATCTCGGGATGAGATTTTCTCACTTGGAAGATTATTATGTTTAAAGAGGGGACCTGAGTAGTACTAACCGTAAACATAACGTCAGTTATGATGAAGTTCCGAACCAGAGCCAGATGAAGTTCCGAAAAGGAGGAAGTAGCATATGTGCCTGGGTTGCGAATACTACCCCAATGGTGTAGGTGAGAATGTTGCAATTTTCGCGAACGAAATGTTAGAAGTCTTGTTAGAAGTCGATGTTAGAAGTCTTGTTAATAGCAGGTTTGAGATAATGTCTGTTATCAGATCTGTGATTGTAGTTAATCCATGCTCGAAATATTTTCCTTCTAAATACTAGAAGCATTTCATACGCGTGAATGAGGTTCCCGATCAAAAGGGAAATAAGCATGCAGAGATTGACCAAAATAGTTGTTTGTAACAAAACAGTTTGGTTAAGGTTACGTTTTCGGCAATCTACCGAGACCCTTGAGACTCTCAAAAGTTTTAAGAAGGAATTAAGTAAGTTATCATGTATTAAATACCTCTTTTCGCATATTATATATATATGCACTCCAAGACGTACAACATAGGTATAGCATTGCCTCAATTAATGACGACTAAGAAATACAATAAAAATAAGACTTTAGTTTTAGCAGAACAAATAAACATATATCAAGTAAAATTTGATAGTTTCTGTAGAATATATATCTCTATATATCTGTATGGCAGAATTTATATTTAAGCTAAAATCTATCAGAAAGATAGGCGAAGTCTTGCATACTTTGACTCAAGTAATATAGTGCTTGTTTCTTTTTAATATTATGTACCATATATATTCTTTAGGTGAATGTTAATGGAATATAACTGGTAAATTTATATAACATCTAAATTTTATTTGAAATGCAACACTGTTGTACTGAACATACTATAGTTTAATGTCGAAAAAAATTCAAGCAGCTACAACCGTTTTTGTCATTTATGATGTTTTACGAGCTAGTCTCTATAGGTTTTGGTGGATCCATCGTAGCAAGTACTGCACTCTATAGTGCAAATTCTAGTGCATACAGGAAACATTTGATTTAGAATTACAGAATTATAAAAAACATTTAGATGTATTTTAACTATTTTAATTTGTATGTAGTTTTACCACCTATTTAAACATTAATGTAGTACGCATAAAAATACTCATGTGTTTTAAATTTGTTTTTTCTGTCTGCAAATATTGAACTTGAATTTCCACGGTAACTGTAAACAGTATTATGCAGTATGAAATATATCACCCATATTTTATCCTAAAGACCATGCACTTTGCACATTGTCATCTTTTAAGGCGACATTTTTAATTTTAAGGAATTTTTTCACATATTAAACTAATAAATTTAGGTCTTGTATTATTCCATAAGATGTAGTATGTATGAGATGTGAAAATAATAGATGATTCTATTCCCTGTATGCAGAATAAAAAAGTCTAGAAAATTCTTCATAACTAATTTGACCATCACCATCAGTATCAACCTCCAGTATCATATTCTCTATGTCTTCATCTGTTAAGTCCATTCCTAAATTAGCGATAACATATTTCAGTTCTTCATGTGCAATATATCCGTTACCATCAAAATCAAGGATATTGAAAGCTTCCCGCGTTTCTGCTTCCAAATCAGACGCCCTCATTTCAGTAGACATCATTGCTACAAAATCGTTAAAATCAATCATACCATTACCTGTTGTGTCAAAGTGATTGATCATAACCAGAATTTCACTTTCTGTTGGAAACTGACCAACAACACGCATTACATTTTCCAATTCCCTAGGTGTAATTCTTCCATCACCATCCTGATCTATAATGTGAAAAGCTTCTCTCAGCTCTTCAATTTGTTCATCTGTTAAATGTCTCGACATATTGCATGTGTTTTGAAGTAGTACTGTAATGAGATGGTATTAAATAAAAAACATTATTTCAATCGAAAAGACTTTTACTGCACTGTAATTTTAGAACTATTACAAGAAATTTTTGTAGTAATGAATTGAAACAAAATATTTTGAAGTCATATTTTTGACAAGATTTAAAATATCTAAGATTATTTGATTATTTTTACAATCATGAAATTAATATAACAGGGCAATTAAAAACAATAAATATCCATAAAACTACTCGGGGAGGTATGCAGATCTGAGGCATTGAGTAAGAATATTATAGAGTCACAATGACTCAATTTTTAAATTTTCAGCAACAGGCACGGGAGGGCGGAGTAAAGATTTTACTTCTTTCTGCGCTGCTGCTAGATCTGTCGCGCTTATGCTTGTTCTTTCTAAAAATTTTACTATTAATGAATGAAGGACAAAAATGAAAACAAAAAACAGATTTGCTTGTTACGAATGCAGGCCGTACAAGAAAAGAGTCAAATTAGTTTTTGGTGTAATTATTTGTTTTTGCAATTAATGCTTGGCAGTGGCAAGCAGCACGTAAAAATTTCATGCATTTAATATCACTTTATAATGCAAATATGAGAAACATCCCTACTTGTTTGGAAGTTTACTGACCTACATATATATGTATGTATATAAATATATGTATATTTATAAACATAAACATTTATAAACATTGGAAGAATATGAATATTTTTTGATCTTATTTTAGGAACATTTGAAGCAAATGCAACCAATTTCAATTTTTTGTTTTAATCAGGTATAATAACAGTTATATGTATTATATTAGTATTAGATAAAATAAGATAATTGTATGTAATTGACCGTGTGCGAGTTCAAGTAATTGATGGTAAATTGAGGAAAATGATAAATTATGTCCGTATAGCAGCGAATGTTGGTATTTACCAGAATTTCGAGTATGGCAAATTAGGTAAATTTGATATTACCATTAGGAACATTTTATAAGATGTATAATAAAAAAATAAATAAATTTGAAAACTTTTAACATAAGTGCAGTGCAAAACACCCTAGGAAATTTTAGTTTA